TTTATATATATAATTTGACAAGGGAATAATGACAGTATGAAGTTTTTATGAAACTGATTAATTTTAACAAACTGGTTTATGATAAAATGCTAACCATCTTAGTATATTGTGGCAGCCGCTTTGTTGAACAGCTTGCTTTTCAAAATTCTTAGCTTGAAGGAAAAGTTTTGATCTGATTTTCCAAGTGGACATGCACCAAAAAATGACGATAAAAATGATTGAGCGCTTCACTCAAAGGCAATCAAGACAAAGCTTTTATAATTTTACGTAAAAACTAGTGTAACTGTGTGATTAACCAATACAATTTTACAAGTATACAATTTTGTGCCCTCTTTTAAGTAAAAATGCACAAAACCACAAAATGTACACTTGAACATGCTAGGACACCGCAGAGGTTCTGTTTACATGAAGCAAACCCCACTTGCAGGAATTACGTCAGTAATGTAAAACCAGAAGTCCATCCACCTAGAAAAAAGATTTCCATCTCAGAAAAGGAAGGTTTAGACAACACGTGCTAATTCATTCAGTTTCACATTTCTTTTGTTTTCAAAAATAAAATTTTAAACCATTTTCTTTTTGTAAATAAGTATAATAAATAAACTTTTATGAATAATGCAGTACTGATTGACATATCATTTAGTAGCCTATAGAAACTATACATTTCCTGCCTTATTCTGTGATAAAAATGGGGAAAAGGTGCTCGTAGTAGCCTTTATAAACCGATCATAAAATTGTCATTAGGAAAATATTGAACAAAAATATTATAGCCCCTTGCTGCAGCTAACCTTACTTCCACAGGCTACAAACAGCAATATAAACAACAGCTGTGCATGCTCTCTTCACGCAGTTCTTGTATAATAGTAATAATAATAATTTAATAATACAAGCACACCGCTCCGCTGAGAACTGCACTTACTGGCAGCCGCGGACGTTATGAAGGCATCCTGGTAGGGCACTACATTAAAAGTGTCATAATCATGTGGATAATTTTATTTACGACTAAATTATAATTAATTCATTTTACTAATAGTTAGATTGGGCAGGCCTTCACAAAATGGCGTTTAATTAAAAAAATTATAATTGCCTTGACAAAAGGGCACTTTGGGCATCAAGTACCCATCGCACCCCCCTCTGCACGTGCCTGCTAGGTTTTGATTACGTGGTCCAAACCCTGCAGCAGCAGACCACTTTGCACATGGTATTTGACACTGAACTGAGGTCTGTGAGGGCTAACAGCAGCTGTTTACCACTGTAGAAAGAAGAGAAGGCACAAGAAATGGAAAGCATGGTTATCTTCACATGTACTCATGGTTTTTATTATCAAAGCTTGCCATGGATATGTTACAAAAGAGATGCAAATAGTGCAAGTCACTTTCTGAAGGCAGTTTCTACAGAGACAAGCAGCAATGATCAACTTCATGAACTTGGACTATATTGTTTTCATACAAATTGCAAAGTTACTGCAATCCACATGAACTGTACCTTACCTGTTTTTTCTTTTTGTTTTTTGTTTTTCTCCAAGATCAATATTTTAAAGCTCTGTAATCGGGTCTGAATAATTTCAAGTATTGCAGTGACACTGATGCTGTAGTAAGTCATTTTACACGGAACTTCAACCCTGTAGCATTTGATCCTGAAACATTTCTAAATGCAATTCAGAATTATGGTCATTACAGGGTTGAAAAGGTCATAATATTTACGTTTTTGTGAAATAGTACAGTCAGTACATACAAAAGCGTCATGAATTGACATCAGGAAATATAATTCAACTCGCAACTTGTAAATGTGGTGAATTCATACATATGATCAAGTGATGCTGAGTTTTAAAAGAATCTATTCATTTGGAATATGGAGAAGCTGAGCAAGTCTTCATATTGGATTCCTTTTTTCAGACACAGTAATGGCAAAAACAGCTGCTGCAAAACAGAGAGAGTACAGGGCGAGAAGGGATGCTGACCCGGTACGCAGGGAAAAGTACCTCAGGAATGAGCGAGAGAGGTGGAGAAGAGATGTTGAGACAGGGAAAAAGAAGAGAATTGGTGACCTGTGTGAGAAGGCTCAGAGATGGAGGCGCAAGCAGTGGAGAGAGGCCAAAGAACGACAGAAGAGGTTTTTCAAATTAATTGCTTCCCCTCCAGACAATCTTGAACCCAGTCTGATGGTGTTGCTGCAACCCTGAAGAGGATGACAGACAGACTGATAAGTCAGGGTCAGGACATCCCAGGTGCATGGAAACTCATCAGGGCCCTTATCGAGGCCAGAATAGCCTTAAAAGCGGGCTAGTCGACAAAGCACTTGAGAAGCACTTGAGTCCAACAACATTGAGGCTCCACCAGATGACTTGTGACCAAGTCAATGAGCTGAACAATATTTCAGTTGTAACTGAAAGAGAGAGTGGGATGGCTGAGATTGATTGGGGTAATCCATGAGTGCGAGATTTTATGATGGACCTTAACCTTCACTGAACCCTGTGGCATCTTGACATATTTCAATTCACAAAGATCTGTGGGCCATTCTAAATGAATTTTACTCTTTGTATTTTTTGTATTATACTCTTAGTTACTATGTAAATGAGTTGTTAATGTTTAAATAAATGGATGAAAGATTGAATCAATTAATGTATATTGCACCAACAGTAGCCACTTCAACCCTGTTATCATTTTCAACCCTGTTGAATTGCATTCAACCCTGTTACTTCTTTTCCATCACTGTTTTTGTAATATTCTGTGTATTTAGTGTACTGTATCTGAGGTAATCAGTAAATTACAATAATTTATACCTGACTTTACATAATATGTAGAATACTGAATCACGTTAAAAAAAAAAAAAAACATGAAATAAATATAACTCTTTAGCCTGAGGTGGGAAAATATTCCTTAGATCAGCAAAAACATTTTCATGAAATGATCATTCAAACAATCATAAAAATAAAAGTTCCATTATTAAATATACGTTTTTTTACAACACGGCCCAGATCAACTTTTTTTAACAGTGAGACTGATGATCCTTTCTAGTTAATGTTCATGTTTGAATTTTGTCATAAAATACACATTGTCAGAATTAAAAACAATTACTGTATTTGAAGAAACACATTTTTTTTTCCCCCACTGCATGGCTGTTCATGATTTTTACACATCGCAAGTCATTCCATGATGGGGATCACAAGAGAAATGCATCAACATGAACAGGTGAGTCTAGCTGCTTTACTTGAACTTTAAAGGTCACTCTGACATATGAAGACTTCTGATTACTGCACTGACAGTCATGGGTTTAAAACAAAACCTTTGTTTGCACTTCTTCATTTCCAAAGCAAATTCCTCTACATTTTTAAACATTCTGTCAGAATAGTGTTTTTATATTCACAATAATATACCGTTTCAAGAATTAGGTTTGGGAAAATTGTTGTAAAGGTAACAGGGTTGACTGTAACAGGGCTGACAGTTGCACAGTTCAGTTAAGACGGGTAAAGAACATGACACTAGATCCTTATTTAAAGAATAATTAAATGTGGAGACCTAAATTCTACAAATACTCAGTTTTCAACGAGTTGTTTGCTGTACAAAATGGTAACAGGGTTGAAATATTAAAGTTGGTCCCAACTGAGAAACATACACAATTATATAAAAGACACGTCCTTGCACAGTTTACTTCATGAACAGATGATGTTGCAATATAGACATAATTCTATGACCTATAGCACATTTAAATAAAGAGAGTTATGATGGCAAAAGGGTTGAAATACCTGGGGACACAACTTTAACCTAAATCTAATAATACTTTAAGAATAAGGGGATGTTTCTAGCTTGTACTTATATATAAGTACATATAAGGGGGGAAATTAACAGATTAAAATTTAAAAGTATTCCTACACAGAAAAAAAGGTAAATAACATCCATTTTATTTATCTTTTATTTATTTGTTTTTAAACGTTTTTTTTTTTATATATTTTTGCATTTTGTTTTTTTCTAAAATGTATTAGTTAACAAATGAAGTTTGAATGTTTGTACATTTGTTTTTACAGCTATGTCAGATGTGAGTCCAGGGAGTTTTGAAAATAATCAATGTACAGGTAAGTTTAATAATTTTATCACACAATTAAACTTTACTGTTTTACAAGTGGAAGCCCCCTGCTAAATCACCTGTGGTATTGCAGTTGCAGAGAGGGCTATTCTTGAGTCACAGGGAGAAATGGACTGGAAAATCAATCACCTGACTGCACTGGTTCAGTGTCTTGTGGGGAACAGGTGCTTTGTGCCTCCACTGCAAATAGAGGATGAGGATTGTGTCTTGCCTTTGATGTCAATGGGGGATCTTGACCGATTGGAGCAAAGACTTATGGATAGAGGGACGATGCAAAAATTGGTAAGATGCTTTGGAATTATGGAATTAAAGAAGTGACTGAAATGTTGGAAGAACTTTTATTTATAATCTATATTTAATTTCTGTTTTAGGTGAACAGATTGTCTGTTAGTGGAGGTCAAACTATGAAAAAGACCATATGGAGAATTTGCACCAAAGTTTTTGCTTCCAATGTGGCCAAACAGCTCAACTGGTGCGGACGGGGAGACAAGCGAGGCTTAAGAAAGACAAATATCGGAGCACTAATAATAGGTATATCCAAAATAAATTGAATACTTTTATGGATAAAAGTATTATAGTTGTTGTTGTAATTACATATCTCAGTCAAATCGCATGTGAATATATTTTAATTTTAAAATTTAAAAGGAATTGCTCAAAAACGTCTACTTGTGCTCACTAAAATGTCACAATTGCATACATATGCACAGTCAGGCCTGTCTGCTCTAGTTCAGTAATATTATGTTCAGTAATAAATGAAATAAAAAGGTTGATTTGCTTGGTAAACTAGTAATTTGATCTTTTTAACACACAGCTGCAGCTGTGAGGAACAGTGTCCTCTTGGCTCCCACAGAAGCGGAGGCAGAGAAATGTATCAAAGATTACCTACGTTTGGCTCCAGGGAGGACATCCTCCTAATCTGTTGTAAAAATGTCAGTTTTATACATTGCTTGTACAGAGAATGACTGTATTTCATACTGTTAAATAAATAATTTAATAATTCCTTGAACTGTTGTTCAGAAGTTGAAATGATTTAGAGTAGTTGGAATAGGGTTATTAACATGTCCATGGTCAGTGTCAGGTTTTTTTAAAAATCAACATAAGGATTTTAAGTAAATATTTTAAGAAAGTTCAGATCTTTTTTTAGATAAAAAAAAAAACAACAACTAGTTTTCTTTAACTAGTGTTAAATTGTCTGTATCTGAAGTAATCGGTAAATTCAATGGACAACATAAAATAACTTGTTTTTATTTTGGTGGAAAAAGCAATAACATTTTCATAAAATAAAGAACGTTCAAGCAAAAAAATAAGTATTTTTTCCCACCTCAAAAGCTCAGGCACACAGGACATCCATTCCTGAGAGTTTTTGTTAATATTGTTTTTGTGCATATTAGTACCTTAAAAGTACATTAATTCCTAAAGTGTACATATATGTACCTAAATGGTACATTTTACATGCATGGTACATTAATGGTGCATTTTAAAGTGATAACAGTTGTACCTTTTTTTTCTGAGTGTGCATCGTCAAGTTTCTTTTGTTTTTACAAGATTTTAAGTAAAAATGTTTAGAATTTAAAGCTTTTTTAAAAAAAACATTTTAAACGCTCTTTTGTCTTTAACTAGTTTTAAATTGTCCTGTGGTGTGGAAAGTACAAATATTACATGTAATCCTTAAATTAATGTGATATTAGAAAATATGATAAAGCTATAATTACATGTCAGGTTACAGTGTAAAACCAAATGCATTCTAAAAATTCTGATATCTTGGCCAATAGTGTATATGAAACTTGCTCAGCAAACATTGATAAGAAGATACTCAGGGTTATCAGGAAACTGACAGGATGTGATGTTGCAGTAAGCAGCCAAAACCGTTTTGAGGAGAGGAAAAAGCTGACATGTGTAACATTAGAAACCATGTTTTCACCACGCGTCGAAGCTGCGTCATGCACGGAATCGCAACTGATCTGCCGGTTCGTGAGTTTCATACAAAAAGCTTTAAAGTGATCTTTTGTGCCACCCTGTGACTTGGCATGTGGCATTGTCTTAAGAGTAAACACTGGCCGTTTATTAATGTGTTAAAATAAACAAAGGCTTCTGTAATATTTCACGGTGTGCATCCCATAAGGTTTAGGGGTGTTTCAGTCTAGTTTACCTTTTTAGCTCTTTCTTGAAATCACATAGTTTTGAGATGGGCTTCAGTTGGCTTGGGTCAAATATTTTCATTGATATACTATTATAGTTTTATATATATATATATATATATATATATATATATATGT